ATGGTTAATTTTATGCATCAACTTGACTGGGCCACAGGATACCCAGATATTTGGTCAAACATTATTCTAGATGTTTCTGTAAGGGTGTTTTTGGATGAGATTAACACTTAAATCCTAAAACTGAGGAAAGCAGATTGCCTTTCCTAATGTGGGTGGGCCTCAGCCAATCAGATGAAGGCCTGAATATAACCAAAAGGCAGACTTGCCTGCCTTTGAACTGGGACATTCCTTCAGGCTTGAAATGAAGCATCAGCTCTCCTGTGTCTCTAGCCTGCCTTCTCATCTTGCAGATCTTGGGACTTGCCAGACACCCTAGTAAAATGAGACAATTCCTGTAATAAATCTATTTCTCTCTCTATATATGTATATATACATCCTACTGGTTATGTTTTTCTGGAGAACTATGGTCAATTCCATGGGTTAGTAACTAGAGATCTAGCTGACTGTAGTTTTCACTTAGGACACAGGTTTGGGATGGCTGTAAATTAATGACTTCTGATTCCATACTGGCACCTGTATGGGACAATGCAAAGCAATGACCAGGAGAGGGAAGAAACAACTACTGTTCTTTTTCTGGAAGGCTGCACACTATTTGCCTCTTTTCAGGGACATGACTATCCCTTTTGGTAGGTTGGAAGGGTATAAAGAAGGATGCTAGAAGAGGCCTGTAAGATCACACTTATTCCAGGCCCTCATATTTCTTTATTATATTTTTCTCTTCTTCCTTCTTTTGCTCAAACAGCTTTAGGAAGGAATTTGGCTTTTGCATTCAGTCAAGGATCCAGACTACTGTGCTCAGTTGACTTAGACTGCAGGTCACAGGCAGAAAGTGTTTTAGTTTTTAGAGGTGTTAGTGTTTCATTCCTTCTTGGTTTTTAGAAGCATTAGTTTCAAAACAAATTTCTCTTTTTTGTAACATTTACAAAGCCTTCAGCCAATACATCCTATTGCCTGAACATTCTATAGCCTACACGTCCCTTAAAGCTGCAGCTCGGGGAGATCTATGGTCTGATGGTGCCAATACACATGAGGCCACAAAGCAAGAACTATCAATGGCCAACTGTGGCAAAGGCTGTTACTTGTGCCCCAATGCCCATTTAATCCTCCTTCTTAGTAATAAGATCCTCTCTCTCTCTCCCTCTCCCTTTCTCTCTGAAATCAATATATATATACATATATACACATATATATGTGTGTATATATATGTGTGTATATGTGTGTGTGTGTGTATATATATACATATACATGTGTGTGTGTGTGTATGTATGTGTATATATATATATATATATATGGAATTTGCAAAGTAGATGTGGCCATGTGGCCAAATTCTACAAATGGGTCAACAGAAGTGCTGTATGCAACTTCCACAAAATGTCCTTAAGGTTGCTTGCCCCTTTACAGAGCAATGTAATCCTTACCAACATTCTAGCCTAAAATACAGAGGGTCTCCTCACCATCTTGATTCAGCCAATTCTATAATCCAGGGCCTATAACCTGCCATACTTCATTTCCCGGTATTAATTTTGATACAGCTAACAGAAAATCCAACTTAAAGAAACTCAAATAAGAAAATAAAGAGTGTACTGGCTAAAGCAACTGAACATTCCACAGGGATAGATGGCTTAGTTTAATCTAGGCCTAATCAGCCTCCTCTGAGTTGTCACCAGTCTCAGGCTGGCTATCCTCACAATAGCAAAACTGGCTAACCCGCTTTTAGCCTTCCTCTTTACGGCAGGGAAGAGTCTGCGCCCTGCCTGTCCTGTGGCTCCCTTAGATTGCATCAGCTTAGGCCACCTGCATAGTCTGAACCATGCATGCAATCGCTCACAGGAGTGGGACACTCTGATTTGTTTAGATTGATGAAATCCCACTCAGAAGCTGTGTTGAGCTTAATCCCATCCAAACCAGACAGATGAGAACAGGGGGAGCTGGGAGCTGCCCAAGGGGGCCCAAGGTATGGTTACCAAAAAACAGGTGGATGCATGCTGGGTCTCAAACAACAGATTTTTACCATACCCTTTAATATAACTTACACTTGCACCATTACTTGGCCTAAGCTTTACAGATACATTACTACTCTTTGGAGAAATACTAAGTAGGACTATAGGAGACTATAGATCATAAAGTCCTATTGGGTGAGCTAAGTTACAGAATTTCAAATAAGGTACTTTCGATGTGCTAAGAGCTGAGAAATAACTTGCTTTCCTTCTCACTCCTAAGGGGCACACAAGTTTGGTTAGGGACAGAAGAATGTGATCGCTTAGAGAAAAAAAATCAAATCAAACCTCACCCCACCCTCCTTGCCACTTCGGAAAGGGGGAAAAGAACATCTGGATCATGTTCTCCCTTCGACTGTCCACACACAGGTCAGCCACAAACAGTAGCTTCCTTCTTACAGAGTCCCATTAATTCCTCACCTGGAAGACTGGCTGCCCGCTCGCGCTTGGCTTTCCTCGCCACCTCGAGTTTTCCATTTCCAATACTTAGAAGTTTTGTTTGTGAGGGTCCAAATGTGGCAGGAACTATTTACAGGTTTCTTAGCTGCACTAGCTGCAGAGGCCAAGAATGTTGGCCGAACAACTGACAAACCTTTCCAGGGAGAGATCTGAAGCAGAGACTGAAAAAACACCTTCCAATCTGTCAGGAACATGGAAAAAGTTGCTGTCTCTTCTACATTGGCAGGGGCCCTAAAGCACAGCATCACAGCATCTGGTTCACCAACCACCAAAACTTCAAAACACAGAGATCAGACTCTACTGTTTTTCTTTAGGAACACAGAGCAGCAGTCAAGAAGAGCAGGACCACAGGGCTCTAGGAAAAATAAGAAGTTATTGGGCTTTAGGGACTGTCTTTGCACCAGATTCATACCATATGGACTTGAACTAGAACCCACTGTTCAAGGAGCCAAAAGAAATCATGATACCAAGAGGTGGTGTGTGACAATCTCTTCCCACAATAAAAATAATTTCAAGCGCTTAGCATAAACCTGGGAGAAGGGAAGTTTTTCTGAAATTCAGAAGTGAAACCACTATTTGATAGTCCCTGCATCACCTACCTGAGATAGGGCATTTCCCTTTTAAAAATCACGTGGCTTAGTTTACTTCTTGGTTATATAGTTCAGAGCATGAACACTTGCTTTAATTCCATGAAATTAAAGATTAAGACTCACATTCCACTGTTTACAAGGCCTTTCATTTATTTATATGTTCGAGCCTTTCTCCAACCACCCCATTTCCACTTCTGAAGCCGTTCCCCAGAATTCCAACAGGTCCTAAAACCATACTTCTCGTTTGGTTGTCCTAACTGCCCCCAGCCTGACCCCCCCAGCCTGTGCTGTCCATAGGCAAGGCCCAGCAGCTTTCAGACGGAGTTCCCAGCGAGGCACGCACATGTTCCTCCTACGGCTCAACATAAAGCCAGTGTGACAATCATTAACAGTTGCCTTTGCGTCCTTTTGTCCTTTACACGTGAGCCCCTTCATCATTCATCGATGTAGTCCTGGATAGCTACTCCCTGAGGTCTGCTGCAACTGCTGTGCGCCAAGCTCTACTCGGCGGTGCCTAATTCATAATGGACACTGAAACAGACTTAATACTAATATCCTCAAATCCACTGAAAGAAAATGGCTTCAGCACTAATACCTGGTTTTAAATGAACTGAAGTGATTAGTTCTTATGCCCAAACCAGCGAAGTATGTGACATGAATAAAAGACAGAAACTAAACATGCTCAGAGAAACACAGCCTGCAGTCCAACGTTGAAGAGAAAAGCCTCCAAGAAAAGCAGTTTCACATAGTGTGAAGAAACTGGCCTACCTTTTCGAAAAATAAGCTGATAAAGTAGCTTATTAAAATACTTTTTTTCCATTTTTAAGTGGCAGTAAACTATAGTATTCACTCCAAGTCATCATGAAATAGAGTATGACTTCACGATGGCCGAGTCCACTTCAGGGCTGCCCTCTGAAGCCCAACTTGCCTTGATTTGAATCCTGGCTCATCTATTTACTTTCCATGTGACCAATCTGTTCCTTGCCCATATAAAGTGGGGACGATAGTACTGTACTTAATTGTAGCATCTCTGAAATCTTTAGTCTCAAACAGCTTTGGCCAGGCCTCAGTCTCGATGCAGTTGTCCTTGTTTGTGCACAAGGAGACTTGGTCGTTGCTTTAGGAGGCATGAATGGACAACTGCAAGCCTTCAAGGTTTCAGTCCATGAATCATTGTCCCGACTGTGAATAGAAACCCTTCTTAACACCAACATCGAAAGTTGCAGAACTTTAATGAAAATCACGGCAACAGTGGTAGAGCACTTCACCGAGAATTGCTGCATCACGAGGTCTCAGTCACAAATGTCAGATTGAAGCGTTAGGAATGCCTTACCTAGTTAATTTCACTTATGTGTTTCCTTTTATATAAGCACAAAATGATACAAAAATTTGTCTCGATACTACATTACATCAATTCTATATTATTTTTTTCATATTTTAACATCTCAAGTCAGGATGTATCACACAATTAATTAAGCCGTGTTCTTAGTGGTATACAAAATGCTGTATCTTACAATGGGGGAGTCTTAGATTGTTGAAATAAAATGACAAAAAAGAGCTGTTTACATTTGTATAAATACCCAAAAGTAAATTTTTAAAAAGCATTATATCATAACTCCAGAGAAGTAGCCTGCCTATATTCCTAATACCGTGTTTGTTTGCATTTAAGCTTAGAGTAAGCCCCAAGCAAAACAATAGAAATGTACATAGAACTATTAGTTCTTACTTACATGATTTAGTTATATCAACACACACAAATTTAACTCGCTACAATGTAGGCAAACTTAATTTTCGTCCATTTTACTGAGCATGTACGGCATATTCTTTTCTTGACTCAAATGAAATATTAACATATGGTCACGATGGGAGAAACAGCTGAGATGAATGTCTTTAGTAAACAGCAATAAATGTGTCAAACTTTAAAAAAAACATTATTATAATTTAATTGGCAGCATTTTTTTTCAATTAGCAATAATCGCGCCTCGGATAAACCTCATTGGCAACGATACTGCCACTGCGCAAAGCTTGGCAGCATTTTTTTTTTCTTTCTTAGTGTTACATTAAATGGCACATTTTTAATTAATGACATTTTGGGTTCCATGAAACACAGCAGTGCCCACCTCACAGGATAATGAGGATGCAATGATTAACAGCTATAATGTGCCTAGAGTGGTGCCTAGCTTATGCTAAGTTCTGAGTTTTCAGCTACTAATATTATCCTGAGTCAGGGGCTTTCCTATAGACTGGGAGATAACAATGTACTAGAAAGCTTTAAAAAGTTTTTTTGTTTTCAACCTGGAGAACTTCCCTACTCCTCCCACCTCATCTCAACACCTCGTCTTTATTGAGGGCTTAACTTTATGCCAGAAACTGTGCTTGATGCTGTGATGATGTAAGTATCAACAACAGGTTTGGCCTTCAAGACCAGTTAAATACAGAATAATTTTATCAATACTTATATAGACAGGAAGAAAGATAATGCCAGGTACAGACAGGAATTAAGAGAAGAAAAACATCCAAGCTCCATTATTTATCATTTAACAGCTGGACCTAAGAATAAGCTTTAACATCTATGTTCCTTGGTTTTCTCATTTGTAAAATAATTTATAATAACCCTCATCAATAATGCTGCCCGAAATAAGATGAATCATTTCCGTTGTTCACCTAGCCCCTGTTCACAAATGCACGTGGGCTCAAATTCTTAACTCTTGGTGAAGGTGAAGCCAGGAGAGGAAATGGCAGGCTGTCTCGGGAGAGCCTAGTGCTTGGTATTCTGATCATTTCCCTTTCTCTTGGGGGAACTCCTCTCCTGATCAGCTCAGGGATGAAAGGCGACCCAACCTAGACAAAATCAAAGTTCTTCCCCCACATTTTACACAACTTACTACCATGCTCTGGTTATGATGACGTAAGCTGAAATTGTCACCCAACATCCTCACCTCGCTGTCTCCCACCCCAAAAAGAGCATCCCTAAAGAGTCTGCTTAGATGAGAAAACCAATCCAGGAAGAAAAAAACCAGAGGCAAGTGTGGGAGATGGAAAGATGGCTTCTTTGGGTGTTTGGATCTAGATAAACTTTCCTGTTTATGAACTAATAAATTGATTGCCCTTCAGGCTGACACTACTTTGAATTGAGTTTCTAAGGGACAATTGATTAATAATCAAAAGTACACAATATCTACCTGAGAATAAACTCAACACAGTTTAATGCAGTGGTGTATGATTAAATAAAAGCAAACTAGGTATCTTGTATATGTCACTTGTATATGTCAACCAAATTAAACAAAATGTAGCAAGGAAATTTTCGGCATTACAGGTATGTGTTTAATGATTTACTCTACATCATGAAGCCTGAATCCCACCACTTGCTACAGGGAAACAAATTGGCTCAACTACACTTTGTATTCTTAAATATCTTTATATTTAAATTACATAGTTAAATTTAAATTATATTTAAGTTATAGAGTTAAATGATAGTAATTCTCTTTAATTTATATTTATAATGTGAACAGGTGCAAGATTTGTTTACAGTAATTTATGGCTAATAATCCCACATATAATAATTTGCAATTATGAAAGGCCTACCTTCTCTTTGAAATCATTGTTTAAAAAATAAAGAAGGCCAGGTGGAGCTTTACTCCTTTTAAAATGTGAGTCATGAACAAAATGCAGGATGTTGCACTTAACATGGGTCAGGGAATTTGTTTATGCATCAGAATTTGTCAAGAATTCAAAATGGAGAGGGACTCTAAAAAAAGACATTGGGTGTTAATACTACAAACTTCTAGAGACCTCAATTATTCCAATTTCACCCCCTCCAAGCAGTTGACATGGTTATTCACTAAAACACATGTTTATTGTAAATCCTATGGGAATAAAAGTGCATATTACTCACATGAGCTGATAGTTCATTTAAGGGAACTGTGCTAGTTAAATTCTTTCCTAAGGAATAGTCTATAATTGAAAAGTTTAGTACAATTCTATAGAGATGGCAAAGATGCATTATTACATCATGCAGATTTCCGCCCCCTTTCTTTTGCCTTCTGGGCAGGGGGAAAACATAGTATAAATTCTTTGGTTTTTGTCCAGTTTTCAGTTTAAATTCTAAAAGAGATGGAACTCAACACTTTTCTTGGAAATGAGACTACATCATAACAGATTTCATTGTCAGGAAATTCCTCTCCACCCTGATTTCAGATCACATGTTCATTTATGTACCTCGCCCCACTTTTCCCAATAACAATTCTATTCATCTATTCACACTTTTGATTCAATTCATTCTATTTCTTGCCTGTTTCAAGAAGACAAATTTCCCTTTTAGATTAAATATGAATCCTTTGAAATGCCATTTAGTTGTCTCCCCAGCAGTACTGTGAATGACATAATTCTAAAGAAATTTTTTACTGAATGAGGGAGAAGATTCCTGAAGTTGCTTTAGGAAGTATATGTATTTTAGACTACAATAACTTATTTCCTATAAATCCCATTTCCACAATTTTATACCAACTGGTCTTTGTGGCATTACTGTCTTTGTATTCTCTTCCACAATTTCTACCACAAATTTTATATATTTGTGTTCTACAAGTTTCTTCTAGGCTCATCTTCTCATTATGTATTTTTTCATATTTCTAATCTTTCCAAATCTCTTTAAATTAATGCCTTTGGTTTCCTTTTGGTCTAAAACTTATTCCAATCATAAACTAAAAATGGATATCACCAATGTCCAATTTTATCTTTGTTTTTCTTAACCATTAAGTACACAGATGCAACACAGATGTAATAATCTTTTACTCTTTTATAGTCATGCTGCAATTTCATAACTGTATGAATTCCAATAAAACTAGGAACATTTAATTTCAATATGTGAGATCATAATGTATACAGAGCTGCCATAAGGTATAAATTAAGCCAGGTATATCATACATACACATATACAATCCAACAACACTAAAGAGTTCCAAGTGTTTTTCCTTCAGTTATTGCTGGATGTTTCAAAACACAGCCTAAAACTGGTCATCACAACACCCCTGTGTGGCAATGACAAGAGTGCAGTGAAAATGGATAAAAGGCACAGAATTCATAGGACACAGCTCACTGTGAGAACAAGTGCGGCCACATTTGTGAGCATTGATGGTTCAAACAATGATGTGGAGTTGCTAACTTTCTGACTGAATATAAGAAATAGTAGCTAAATGTATTTATTCAGCCTTTATATAGGACATACTACTGGGTGTTACCAAGTAGAAAAGACCCATTCATTTATCTCAAGAGGGTAAGTTACATACAAATATCAAAGGCAAGAATGGGCAACTGGTGGTTAGCTGGTGTGTCACATGGCCTTTTGACACCTTTGTGGCTGACAAAGGTGATCCTTGGGTTTGGCCTTGTATCAAATCAGAAAATGTTTCAGACTATATAACTGAACATACTAAAAGCCAGGATCTAATTAAAATAAGCACTAGGACAACCAGGTGCAAAAGAGGGGTTAATAGGAATAAGGTCTCGTAAGTCAATTCAAGAGGCTAGAAAACACATCTTTTTTTAAAAAAAATTTTTTTAGATTGTTTACTTTTCAGAAAAACAAAAAATCGCACAAACCCACTGACAATACACCCAATCACCCAACAGTAGTTAGTCAATGCATCGTCCTCTGCAACCTCGATATTTCCTTCCTCCAGAAGTGCTCAATTTTCATTGCCAATGTTCTTGGTAGATTCACTTTTCACTGAAAAAAAAATAAACATACAGTCACATGTTTATACTGTTTCTATTTAGCCTGTTCTGTTTTTTCCTTTTCTCTTCTCCTTCTGATGCATACCAATAGCACTGCTCACAGGGGTAGACAAACCATGTCATGTCCCAGGCAGCCAGGATATACAATTCTGGCCACAGTAAATAGAGAAATGATGTCTGAAAGTGGCAATTATATTTTGTGAGGTAACATCCTTCCTGACTGTGTGGAAGACTTGAGAATGGTCATTCACAGTGTGGTTAGGATCCCACACTCATACCACCGAATAGATTGCGATTATCACATAGGCTAGCCAAGTGTGGTTGGAATAAACTTTTCCATGATATTTTTTAAACTTAAAATTGAGGGGCAGTATACATTGAGTGAATGTGGGCTGACAGAAGACTAGCTAATCGCCATGTCCTTCCTTTCACAAGAAAGACGACTCAGAGCAGAAATGGAGTTCCTTTAAAGGAGCTGCCTCGACTAGAGCATGCAAGTCTATCACTCACTAAACTTGACAGAGAATGCACCTTTCCTCCCTATATCTATCCCCTGGGGTAGCACTTTTGCGGTATCAATATAAATGCAAGTCACTCTTTCAGTTTTGTTTTTGAAGACTCAGAATTTTATTTTATTTATTTTTTATTGAACTTATCAGGGCGGCATTGGTTTACAAAACCATACAGGTTTGAAGTGTACAACTCAATAAAACTTCATCTGCACACTGCATCGTGCGCCCATCACCCCAAGCAAAGTCTCATTCCATCCACATTACCCAGCCCTTTGCCCACCTCCACCTACCCTCCCACCCCCATCTCCCTCGTGCCATCACCACACTGTTATCTGTGTCTATGTGTTATGTATATACGTTTTTTGGTTAATCCCTTCACCTTCTTTCATCCAGTTCCCCAACCCCCGCTTCCTTCTGACAGCTGTCAGTCTGTTCCATGCCTGTTTCTATTTTGTTTGTCAGTTTATTTTGTTCATTAGATGATACATATAATCTGGTATTTGTCTTTCCCTGACTGGCTTATTTCACTAAGCATATGGTATTTGTCTTTTTCTGACTGGCTTATTTCACTAAGCATTAATATAGGTCATCCATACTGTTGCAAAAGGTAAGATTTCCTTTCCTTTCCTTTTTTTTTTTTTAACAGGTGAGTACTATTCTATTGTGTAAGTGTACCACAATATTTTTATCCACTCATCTACTGATGGACACTTGGGCTGCTTCCAAATCTTGGCTTTTGTAAATAATGCTACAATGAACATAGGGATGCATATATTCTTTCAAATTTCTTAGGATATATTCCCAGAAGTGGGATCGCTGGGTCAAAGGTAATTTCCATTTTTTATTTTTTGAGGAAACTCCATACTGTTTTCTACAGTGGCTGCACCAGTCTGCATTCCCACCAGCAGTGCACGAGGGGTCCCTTTTCTCCAGATCCTTGCCAGTACTTGTTGTTTGTTGACTTACTGATGATAGCCATTCTGGCAGATGTAAAGTGATTTTAATTTGCATATCTCTGATGATTAGGTTTTTGTTTTTTCTTTCTTTTTTTTTTTTAATCTGCAAAATGAGATCCAGAGTGACTACTCTATTAATTTCATTGTATGGTGAAGCTAAAAGGAAATAATATGTAAAAACACTATTAACAATTAAGGTTAAAATAGAGATTATTTTGCTTGAGGTTTATAGCCATTTATCTCCACTGTGTAAATAAGAAAAATAGAGCTCAGAGAGGCAGAGTAAATGCTCAAGGGCCCAAAGCTAATAAGAGTTGGTGCTACAATCACAAACCTGGATCTAGCCTCATATTCCAATTGTCAAGTTCTTTGAGGTTTGCCGATAGTACCTAGATTTAAGATTGTACCAGCAACCAAACTGGTGTTTATAAATAAGGCCTTGAAATAGCTTCCATCCAAGATATGCCCCCATCCTTGTGGAATTTTATAAACTCTAGCAGCGTCCTTCAAGTGTCTCCATATTACAAGTTGTTGTCTCTTCTGGCTTTCTTTGCACTTAATGCAAACTCTATTTAGCACCTATTGAACTGTAAAGTTTACATTTGTGTTCCCGAGATCTACCCATTAGCTCACACACACTCTGAAAGAGAAAGGAAGAGAAAGAAGGAAAAGGAGGGCTAAGAGGAGGAGAGAGAAGGAGAAGGGATGAAAGGATTCATTGGCCCAACAACAGACTGATGTATGAGCAGCTGCTATGCCAGGTATTTTCACTAATTCAAGTAATCAATTTTGGGTTGGATTCCTTCTCAAAGGCAGAGGCATTTTCTAATTTTGAGTTATCTTAGAACAACAGAGAAATATATTATGCTGGTATTTTTAAATTAATGGGGCTTTGTACTATTTGGCATTGCAATTTTCGAACTTTTTCCCTTTCCTTGCTTACTGAAGTTGCCCAGTTGTTTTCTTTTAATAGAGCTCCATTCTTTTTCCTTAGACTGAAATGAAGCACGCTTTCATCAAGTCATTTGATCTACTAGTTAATTTTGGCAAACAAAGACCTGTGAAGCAAGTAACACTATTCTGATCACTTCATACTGGATTGAAACGAGATGGGTGATTAGCACTCTACATCTCCAATCTAGTGAGTTACCTTAACTGCTAAATCTTTTCAGTCAACTTTTTTCATTCCTTAAAAAGCAAAAAGCAAACAAACAAAACTTGCCCATTGCTCATCAATATAGGGAACAAAGTAAATTATAGCAATCTACAATAACAAACATTATAACAACCATCAACTGTGAAAACTACTGAATCCAAGCCCAGAAACACATTTTCCCAAAACTAGAAGAGAGACACCTTGTGCTATGAACTCAAGATTAAAAATTCAAGTTTTTGGCTTTGGAGAGAGAATTTCAAGGCTTTCCAAAGAAAATGTCCTATTCTTATATAATCCTTCTTCTGTATTAAGGGACCACCCTGAAGAATATCCAATGGTTTGAGAAGGTACAAAAAAAACCCCACAAAAAAACAAAACAAAACAGACACCTTGAAGTGTTTACACAAAGAAATGCATGTATGGGAAGGCCTGGCATTGTTTTTTAAAGTATGTGTACTTATGATATGACAACACTGGTATGCTCCTTCAAATCCTGTCGGATCCTCCTTAGTTCTTTGCTAGAGCAGCTCTAAACTATCCTCTACACTTAAAGCACAAGTCACTTGTGCTTCCTGTAGATAAGTCAAACATCATACACCTACCAAAAAGGAGCAAATGTTTCTTAAGAAGGTTCCAAGTGCACTACAAAAGTAGCTTTTCTTTTTGCTTCATTACAGGAAGCCTTACTTCAATGTGCATTCCTAAACAAGGTAAAAGAGGTGCTGTGTGTGCATGTTTATTTACACAGACAATGTTTGCCCTGGCTAGTAACCCACATTACTAAACAACTTTCCCTGAAACCAACATTTAAAGAGAGAGCTATGTGAATTATGTTAAGGAAAAAGCAAGGTTTTATACAACTTTTTTAAAAAAAGTGAAACTGGTCATTTAAAAGTAAAATTTCTTATTTAATTTGAGAAAAAACCCCCCAGCTATTTTCAAACTGTAAAAAATATAAAAAAGAATTAATCTTAAGATTTAGAAATCCATAATTGATTATTAGAAACTTCAAATTTGCTAATTAAAAATCTAGTTTCAAATTGTGAAACTGACAAAATTTTGGCCACTTGGGAAAAATTTTTTTCCCTATTAACTTTCCCAAGAATAAAAGCTATTATATACTGTCCAGAGAAGACATTACAGTAAAGGTTACTTCCTGTTACAGTCAATAATAGCAATAAAACCGAATTACATATTTCAGGTAATATTATCTTAAACAACAGAGTTCAATCCAATCCAAGGACTTTACGGTAACATGGAGTTTGTTACAATGAAACTTGGCCTGTACCTATAATTCTTAACTGAAAATGGTATCTAATGGTTTTGAGTTAAGGTAAGTAACACGTAGGACTCATGTAAGACAAAGAGCATCATTTTATAGGCAGGCATTTAAACTGGTTCAGTCATTTTAAATTGATAGCTTACATTCTCTCAAACCAGACAGGAGCAGCTCATTTGTCACTTACAGTATTAACTGTAGCTATAGAGTAAACGTGTGTAAATCTACTGGGAAAACACATATGTAAGGTAATACAGATGGCCCTATTGCTTGGTCTCACTAGAGTTATTCTGAACACTACAGGAACAAATTGATACTCACCTTCGTGAAGAACGTTCATGTCTTTACTGGATTCTTTCAATACCACATGTAATGTTGGGTACTCAATGATCACTTTGTTCCTCAAATTGTCAAGGAGACTCTTGTGAGGATCCAGTTCATAATATCTTATAATAAAAAAGCAAAACAAGAAAATGCTCTTAATATTAAAAACTACTCATAAATAAAATTTATCAGAGTCCCTTACATTAAAAAAATTTTAAAGTGACAACATTAATCCAGTAGCTATTTCCTTAATAAAAGGCTAATATGCTAATCGACCAAACAGCAGAACGATGGGTTGCTATGATGCGCACTGACCACCAGGGGGCAGATGCTCAATGCAGGAGCTGCCCCCTGATGGTCAGTGCGCTCCCACAGGGGGCGCACCACTCAGCCAAAAGCCCTGAGCAAGGCTCATGGCTGGCAAGCGCAGCGGTGGTGGCAGGAGCCTCTCCCACCTCCACGGCAGTCGGACATCCCCTGAGGGCTCCAGACTGTGAGAGGGAGCCGGTCGGGCTGAGGGACGCCCCCCAAGTGCATGAATTTCATGCACCGGGCCTCTAGTTTCCTTATAATATAGTAAATTTAATATTAAAAAAAAGGTAAAAGAGCTATTATTATGAAGGTTCTAAAGCTAAATCAAAAGCATATCAAATAAACAGACATTAGGAAAGCTCTAGGATAAGTCATTAATTTTTATATCAAGTAAGGAATAAAGACTAACTTTAATATAATATCTACATTTTATGTATCATAAAATTATCTTGGATAAATGGTATCTAATGACTACCTAAAAATCCTCAAAAAAAACTTAGTTTGAGCCTTAAAAGAAAAATAAACACCATTCCATGATAATTTCTAGTAATGTATGTCAGTAAAATAACTGGCTACAAAATACTTTTGTAAAGTGGATTAGAAAACTGTGGTACATCTACACAATGGAATTCTACACTGCCATAAAAAAAGAAGGAATTCTTACCATTTGCAAAAGCATAAATGGAACTAGAGAGCATTATGCTAAGCGAAATAAGCCAGTCAGGGAAAGATAAATATCACATGATCTCACTCATTTATGGAATATAATGAACAGCATAAACTGATGAACATAAATAGAACCAGAGACATAGAAGCATTGAACAGATTGTACAACCTATGAGGGAAGATGGGGGGTGAGGGGGGTAAGAGATCAACCAAAGGACTTGTATGCATGCATATAAGCAAAAGTATGAGGGCTTGTGCTTGGAGGAGGGGGTGGAGGGGGAGAGGTCAATGGGGAAAAAAGGAGACTCATGTAATATTTTAAACAATAAATAATTTTTTTAAAAAAAAGTTCATTCCAATGATAGCTTCTAAAAATTTATATTGCCATACAATTAAATACGACCTTCCTTTATTTAAAAAATTTAAAAAACCAGATTTAGGTTTCTGAATGAGGCAAAAACACAAAATCTAAGAAATATGGAGTTTATTAGCCATGGTGTATATATGACATAGCTGTCAAATGTATCACGGGTTCTTAGATGCTCATATCCTTAAGATATGAAATCCTCATGCCATTACTTAAAAAAATGTGAGTTGATTAAAGATGCATTCCCCTAACATGCTCCCTTGCCTGCTTTCTGGAATAGGATCGAAAGGGGTGGAATTTCAGCTGGCTTACTGGGACTTAGTTGCATATAGGAATGTGCTGGCATGTGAATATTGTGTCATGTCAAAGAGGAAAACAGTAGAGATCATATCCACCAACGCAGCACAGAAGTTCTCTAACTTTTCTTTTCTATCTCTACCACTGATAGATGATATTCACATACACAACACACATCCCAAGGGATACCCAGCCCTGACAGCTCTAACTGCACCTTTTCCCCTCCTGCCCAAAAAAGCATAATGGAATACAAGTGATCAAGTGTGAAGTTATCACTGGGGTACACTTGAATCTGCTGTAGTTTTGTTTTAAGAGTAAATCCTTCACAAACCTTGCTATTTCTTAATTAGTAAAAAATTATTTACTCCATAACCTGCAGCTGACTGAGACATGTAGCACACTTACTAAGAACTCCTGGTATAATGATTTCTTTTGTTCTAAGTTTTTCCCATGTCATAGTTATCAAATAAGGGAAAACAAAAGTACTTAACAAAATAGAATGCAAAGGCAAGCCCACTGTAAAAAAACTGATTTCTTTTTAAGAAGTAGGTGACAAGGGAGAGAATAAATGTGAAACCAAAACTTGACTTACATTTGCCTGACCACAAAGCTCACCCCTGAGATTAAGTTCTTCATTTTAGAATCAGAATATTTTTTTTTGTTAAAACTCAAAATGCAAAATACTCAGTTTTCCTAAACCAGCCATCCTAGTGCCCATAGGCCACAGAACACATACATTCTTTTCCCTCTGTAATGTATTACAGATGTGCTTATGATACTTTAAAAGTGGTTCCAGCATTCAAGGATTAAATGTTTCACATCTTTTAAACATTATTTCCCTTTGAAATATGTAGCATTTTAAAAAAAGCAGTAATTATACAAAAGAAAATGAGATTGAATTAGACATCAAAGCATAACATGAACTTATAAAATAAAATATAAAATGGATATAACTACATGTTTCTTAAGAGAAAATAAGACTTGAATTCTCAAGTAGAAACTTTTCAAACAGTATCCTATAAACACTTGCAGTAACTTATCTTCTGTGCATTTTAACAAAATAATCAGGCTTCTATTCAAAGACATTTCCCAATAAGGGAATGTTTTCCACTTATTTCAATTTTTGGTAAATAATTTTCTGTGTATACCTTCTGTCTTAGGTATTTTATTTCTTTTTACAATATTAAATATTCAGTAAGTTCTGTAGATTTCCAAGGCTGGAGCAATTAAAAAAAAAAAGGATTTCTTCAAAAGCCACATGGTAATCAGAGCCTAATATTATTGCTGATACAGTATCAAATAGTTCCAAGCATAGGAACCTTTAGATACTTAAAAATTACCATGTAATAATCTACATATTATTTCAATCTTAAAGCTATAATGATTACACTTGCTCATTTGTTTTTTAAAACTTGGTGCCTATTTTATGTGCCAACCAGGCACTGCAGAAAGCATTTAGGATGCAAATATTTATAAGAATTTATAATGAATGATTTTTAAAGTATTTTATTCAAATGCAATGGAAATCTGGTATGTTGTGTGTTTTTTATTAGAACCAATGAATTTTATTCAATGTTAACTCTAAAATGTTGCCAACTTCTAATTATGGCAATATTGCTATTGACTGTCAGTAAGCTTGTAGGCCTCAGCTTTCCGGTCTGTTAATTAAAGAGGTCGGACTGTACTAGATAATCTTTCAGCTGAAATTCTGAGTTTCTTTGATTCTTCTGCTACTAGTGGTTATTCTTAGTCTACTAAAGCAATTTTCAATTGGTATGCTGCAAGAATCTTTAAAACAAGCAATGCCTATTTAGTCAGGGGCATTACCACTTTTCCCTTATACCAGTGGTTCTCAACCTTGGCTGCACATTAGAATCACCTGGGAATCTTTTTAAAATCCTGATTTCTGGGCCTCATCCTCCGGAAATTCTGTTTCTTTGTTATGGGGTGGGGCCACAACATTAGTAACAAAGAAACAGAATTTCCAGAGGATGAGGCCCAGAAATCAGGATTTTAAAAAGATTCCCAGGTGATTCTAATGTGCAGCCAAGGTTGAGAACCACTGCCTTATACTGTCAAATAAAAAAATGACAGTATGGTGATTACCAGAGAGAAAAGGGGGTGGGGAGAGGTAGAAGAGCGTAAAAGGGGGGGAAACGGTGATGGAAGGAAAAGTGACTTCGGGTGGTGAACACACAATAAAATATGATGTATTGTAGAATTGTATCCCTGAAACTCATATAATTTTATGAACCAACTAGAGGCCGGGTGTACAAAATTCGTGCATGGGGGCGTGGTGGGGGGTCCCTCAGCCCTGCCTGCACCCTCTCCAATCCGGGACCCCTCGGGGGATGTCCGACTGCTTCTCACAATCTGGGACCCCTGGCTTCTAACTGCTCGCCTGCCTGCTTGGTCACCCCTAACCCCTCTGCCTGCCTGATCACCCCTAACTGCTCCCCGGCTGGCCTGATCGCCCCTAACCTCCTCTGCCTCGCCCCACACCCAGGACTTGGGCTTCCTTCCCTCTGGCCAGCCGCAGGCACCCAGGACCTGGGCCGGCTTCACCCGGGCCGGCCGCAGCTGCAAGGGACTGTGGGGCGGGCGGCTTGTCCCTCTCCCAGGCCGCAGGTGCAGGTGCAGGCGCAGCCGCTGACCCCCGGGACTGTGGGGCAGGTGGCTTGTCCCTCTCCTGGCCCGCAGCCTGGCTGGTCCCCATTCCTCTCTCGCGAGCTCATTTGTGCCTGGCTGGTCCCCATTCCTCTCTCCCCAGTGTTGAGTGTCTGAGCTGTTATGGCGTTATGGCGTGAGGGTGTGATGGCCATTTGCATATTAGCTCTTTATTATATAGGATGTCATATCAATAAATTCAATAAAAAAAATAACAATAGTCAACACAACAACACCTGTCCAGGGTGAATGAATCAAAATTATGCCTACATTTTATTGTCAGATTGGCAAAAAATAATGTATTTTTTGGCGTGCTGTAGAATTTTAGTAATTAGTTTATGTTACCATGCATGAGATTAAAAAGGTTGAAAATCACTGACTTATGCCATGAACACTGTTTTACATTCATATTTACTTAACAACACATCCTTATAGAAACTTTAGCTTAGGACAAAGTCATTGAACTTCTTTAGTAACAAAGAATGCCACTTATTACATAAACATTAAAATATATATTTGCCATTTTATGCATTTTACATTTTAAATGTAGTCTTGCAACTTTTAGTACAACCTTCAAACCATTATTATTATTTTTTTAAATCATCTTTACTGTTAAAAGTATTTCAGATGTCCTCCCTCCATTGACCCTCTCCTGCCCAATCCTGCCCCTTCCACAGGCCTTCACTGCACTATTGTCTATGTCCATGACTTATGCATATATGATAAATTCTTTGGTCAATCTCTTCCCGCCTCTCCCTACCCTTTTCCTCTGAGAATCCTCAGTCTGTTGCATGCTTCCTATCATGTTTACTT